GCCTTCGGGCCGAGCAGGCTTCAGGCCGACCGGATTACTGCTGCTGCAGGCCGGGCCAGAAGAATAGTAAATGATGTTTTGAAGTCTATTTATTTTCAGAAGCATATTTGAATGAATTTTGATCAATTTGAAGGTTTAAATTTCTGGTAAAATTGCACCAACGTGTTAGATTTTTTAGAGAGTAGAAAAGTACAGTAAAATGCTTCTGAAAAGTATATAAAGAAATTTTTTCAAGTTTCCGCTGCAAAGTTAAAGATGTTGTCTTCTTATTAAATTCGAACCAACGGGAGAATTTAATTTGAAGAGCAGTTATAGTTATTTGGTAAATGATGAAAAGTTTATCCTCAGTTAAAATTGGAACCAACTGAAAAATTTTTAATTGGAGGAATAGTCGGTTGATAGTTAAGATAAATTATAATATTGTTATTTTCTGACCAACGTTGATGATAACAATATTATAAGTTTATTTATGAGTTTAAGTTTAAAGTTAAATTATGGTATTGTTATTTTCTGACCAACGTTGATAATAACAATATTATAATTTTATGAGTTTTATGTTTAAAGTTTAAATCTCTGATGAATTTTGCATCAAAGTGACCAATTTTTCAGAGAAAAGATAAAGATCAAGGAATGCTCTTAAACTAGAGAAATGTATTTTTATGTTTCCGCTGCAATGAAGTTGATTGTCTTCTAATTAAATTCGAACCAACGGGAGAATTTAATTTTGAGGAGTAGTTCTATGTTTTCAAGATTATTGAATTTCTATACGTTAATTCCATTTCTGTCCAACGGTGATGTGGAATTAATGTAGAAGAATGATGTTTTATTCTATTTCTGCCCAACGGTGATATAGAATAGAACATAAAGATTTCAAAGTTTAATGAGCATTATTGTTGAATATTTTTTCAGACAAAAGACCTCCATGCTTTCATTCTTGAAGGCAGTTAGAGAAATGAGCTGGGTACTTATGACTCAGATGATAAAATGCCTAAGGGCAAGTTATGTATGAAAGAATGCCATTGTTTAAGAAACTATGTTCTCTTTAAAGAATTGCTTCAAAAGAAAAGAATTATAGGATATTGATCCAAGAAAAGAGATAGATCAATGAGAGTCTTCATTGAGAAATGTCTTTTATATACTCTCTGTGAAGAAGAATTTATTTTCAGTTTCACTTATGAGAGTTGTAAAAGTCATATACATGTTTAATTTGACTAACATTGGATTACACATGTGTGTTAAAGAATATTCAGATTTATTTCTGAATTTGATGATTGAACACGAGCCAATCCTGGCAGTTATGTCCGTTCAAGGAAATTATCTCGCATGGCGGGAAAAGTTTGTGATAGTACCCGCATGGTGGAAAAAGTTTGAGAAAATACCCGTATGGCGGGGTAAAGTTGGAATAGTACTTATGTTAACCAATCCTGCATGGCAGGAGAGTTTTGGCATAGTACTTATCCCGCATGACGGAAGAAGGATGTGATGACTCATGTGCTCTAAGTGTATCCCGCACATGGAGAGAAGTTTAGGGTAGCTCTTATGCTATCCTAGTATTGACCGTACACTCTGATTGTGTCATGGTTATTAAGTACTCAATAAGTTTAAGAACAAAAGAAAGTTGCATGTGAACCAAAAGATAAGAATGATATGCAAGCGTGACTTGCAGAAGTATTGATAATAATAGAATATGTTGAGTTTTGAAGTGTAATGAGGAAAATGTACTCCCATACGAATTTTGTTTGCATGATGTAATTATGTGGATGAAGTAAGTAATCAAAGTTTCCTCATTCACAAGAGTTCTGAATATTTCGAAATTGTGGTAGAAAAGTTCATACCACATTTCGAGGGGGAGAAATGTAAGATTAATTAAGAAAGACAATTAAGAAAGATACTTCCCCATACTTTAGATAATGCAATGCATACTATGCATTGAAGATAAAAGTGATATATAAAAGATGAATGTGATCATTGAGGGAGTAAGACGGTCATAATAACGATACCCCTAAAGTAAAGAAATAGCTAAATTCCTGTACCTTTTACAGTTCCGATAGGAAGATAGCATAGTCGGCTAGTATTTATACTCGACGAGTTCAGAGTTATCAAGGCGGTGCTAAACACGCCATATGAGTTTTTAGCAGATTAAACCCAAATAAGAAATTAGAAGATACACCATCTTTACAAAAGATGGAGTAATCTGGGGGAGCATGGTATGATACCTAAGGCTTGAATAGAAGTGGGATTACATATCCACTACAGTGTTTTTTAGAGCAACAAATTGCTTAATACATGTTGATGTTGTATGGATATACAACACCTGATGTTGGCTCTTAAAGAAGATGAATAAGTAAATAAGGATCTTATAATACAGGAGGCTATAGAACAATTGCCTTTTGGCAATGAAGAGTAACAATAGCCCCATATGAAAGAAGTGCCACGAGGCCCCAGAAGGTCTCAATGAATAAGAAAATCAGATATTTCTGGTGACTAAGAAGTCAATGTTAAGAAAGAAATTCAAATAGAGGATAATTCCACCTCATTTGAAAAAGCCATGAGAGGCGTTCACTCGTCTAAATGGCAAGAAGCAAAGGAAGATGAAATGAAATCGATAAATACCAACGATGTTAGGGACTTAGAAGAAATTCCCAATGGAGCCAAAACAGTAGGCTGTAATGGGTCTACAAGACAAATGTGACTCCAAAGAAAATATGAAAAGCTATAAAGCGCCACTTGTGGCGAAATGATTTACACAAAGAGAAGGAATAGATTATAATAAGCTTGCAAGGATTCTTTTAGAATCATAATGGTATTAGTGGCACATTATGATTTACAGTTACATCAGAAGGATGTAAAGACACATTCCTCAACGAGGATTTGTATGGAAAAGTTTACATGGCATAACTCAAAAGGTTTTATCGTGGAAGGAAAAGAACGTAAAGGGATGTTGCCTAAAGAAATCCATTTATGGATTAAAGCAAGCTTCAAGACAGTGGTTCTTGAAGTTTGACAGTACAATAAGAAAGTTTGGGTTTTAAAGAGAATGTAGATGACAATTATATTTATGCAAAGTTTAAACATGGGAAATTTATTTTTCTAATCCTGCATGTGGGTAGCACCTTACTTGCTAGTAGTGGTGTTAATCTACTGTTGGAGAAGAAATAGTTCTTGTTCTCAAGTTTCAATGAGAATGGTCTTGGTAAAGCATCATTCGTTCCAGGAATTTGAATTTACCGAGATAAAAGGAAAAGGGGTATTAGAACTATCTCAAGTGTATACTTAGAGAAGATTCTAAAGAAATAAAGTATATATATGAATAAACCTGCGCCTGTTCCTATAGTCAAGGGTAATAGTTTTTGTAACTTTCAGTGTTCCAAGAATAAATGTGAGATCGATCAAATGGACGTCCTATATGCTTCAGCTGTTGGAAGCTTACTGAATGCTTATAAGCAAGAACTTACCCTGACACAGTTTATGTATCTGGGATGTTTTTAGCAAAAGTCCAGTCCAGATATAGATCACTGGAATGGAGTTGAGAATGTTTTGCAATTGTGCAAAGATTTATAGGCCTCATGGTGAGTAAGAAAGAATAAGTACTCTCAAATAGTTATGGGTACAAAAGTTAAATTTTGGCGAGATGTTTAGTGAAACCCACATAGTAGCTAACACTCGCAGTTGGAGTTTTATTGTGGAAAAGCTCCAAAAAAACAGTTGTGGTATCATCAAAGATGCATACCCATGGTATAGCATATTATGAGGCTTAAGGACAGACGAAATGGTTAAAGGAACTTACACCCGGAATTAATAATGGTATACGACAGCAATAATCATTTAAGAAGTTCGCTCCTATAACAACGGGTCAAGTGTGCCGCCAAACACATTGACGTTAAAGTTGTACGTTGTGAAGGAGAAAGTCCGGAATCATACTAAAAGTATTGAACATAGAAGTAACAAGCAAGTGCTTGCGGATCCGCGTACAAAAGGCTTACCACCCAGTGTATTTGGAGAACACACAGTCAACATGCGTTTATGGTATAGCCTATGATTTCCAGACAATAAAGGGCCCACAAGTTAAAGAATCTGTTTCAGAACAGAGACGTGTATTGTAGCTATTAAGTCTATCGGCGATTGACCGTGATGGAACAAATAAAAGTGAAAGGGATTAAAGTCAAAGTTTAAAGTTAAAGTATGAGTTGAGATCAAGGGGGAGAATGTTAGAATTGATCTCATCCGTCTTGACCCAACGATTGAGACGGACCTCTTGACCGCGTCCTGATCGGGGACGTCCAGCCATCTAGTGGCTGGTGGGCCCCCGTCGCACAGTGCCTATAAAGAGGAGATGTGGCAAACGGCTCAGGATACGAGGTTCACCGTCGCCACAGCCCCACTGTCCTAACACTAATCCGATCCAGAGGGTGGCACTGCCAGCGGCGGGAAGCACCACCAGACCGCCGTAGCTCCACCCCGCCGGGACTCCGCCACCTCTACACCGTCACTGCCACACTGCCACTGACACCGACGCCATGGACTCCTCGAGCTCGTCCACCAAGCCCGACGGTCTGTACGTCTCTCTTTCTCCTCTCTCACTCTCTTTGGATCCATGTGTTCTAGTTCTTTCATAACGAATGGAAGTTAAAATACCCACTGATCTACTCTAGTCGATCCAAAAGTGTTAACACCTCCGCCTCCTCACCACCACTGTCTTCGTCGCCGACCGTCGTATCGCGCACTGCGTCCTCGTCCGGGACGGCGCCGCCTTCGCGGACCGCCTGCCGCTCGTCGAGCCCAACCCGCTCTTGAACGCCGGCAACATCAACTCCGCACCCTACGGGCCCTACTGGCGCCTTGTCCGCCGCAACCTCGCCGCCGAGACGCTGCACCGCGCCAGCCTCGGCCTCTTCGCGCCGGCGAGGCGGTGGGTGTGCGACGCGCTCATCGCCAGCCTCCTCCGCGACGTCGACGCATCGGAGTGCGTCGTCACGGTCAGGCCGTTCTTGCAGCGCGCCATGTCTGAGCTGCTCGCGTACATGTGCTTCGGCGAGCTGCTTCCCCCGGACGTGCTCGACGAGATCGACGCGCTCGAGCGCCACGCTCTGCGCACAGCCACATCCTTTCCGGTCTTCGCGATCTTCCCTCCGGTCACCAAGAGGATCTTTCGCAAGCGCTGGACGGCACACGTCAACGTACGCCGAAGGCAGGATGAGGTCTACGCCCCGCTCATCCACGCCACGAGCGCCGCCGACGACGATGACCAACCACCGTGCTATGCCAAGTCCCTCCTCGCGCTGCGGGTGGCCGACGACGGCGACCGGCAGCTCACGGACTCCGAGATGGTAAGCCTTTGCTCCGAGTTCCTCAACGCCGGGACAGACACAACGGTGACCCTGCTCGAGTGGATCATGGCCGAGCTGGTGAACCACCCGGACGTCCAGGCCAAGGTGTACGAGGCGGTTATCAGAGCCAAGCGCGAGCTCGACGACGCCGTCAACCTCCATGCGCTCCCATACCTTAAAGCCGTCGTTCTAGAGGGCCTGCGCCTGCACCCGCCAGGCCACTACCTCGTCCCACATGCCGTGCGGAGCGACGCGGAGATCGGTGGCTATAAGGTGTGGAGATTGGCCGCGACGAGTCAGTGTGGACGGCGGCGCGCGAGTTCCGGCCGGAGCGGTTTCTGGACGGCGGGGAGGGGAACGGCGTGGACATCACCGGGAGCCGGGAGATCAAGATGATGCCTTTCGGCGCCGGCCGGAGGATGTGCCCCGGGTACGCGCTGGGCATGCACCATGCCGAGTTCTTCGTGGGGAGCCTCGTCAGGGAGCTGGAGTGGCTGCCAGCGGCGGAGGGAGAGACCGTCAACATGGAGGAGAGTGGATTTCACCACCGTCATGAAGTACCCGCTCCGTGCTCGCATCGTACCAAGAACACAAATCCTAGCTCACCTAGAATAAAAATCTGCAGGAGACAATATGCGGCTGTGTGCTTCCATCTTTGTAGATGACATGCATGACAGCTATATATATATATATATATATATATATATATATATATATATATAACCTAGTCAACTCATGATTGTGCGCACAAAAGCATCTTCATGCATTTGATGGCGTGATCATGATTTACACGTTATAATATCAAAAGAAGTGTATTATCAAAATATATTTCATGGTGTATCTGAGTATCTATGATAAATCTTGTCTGATGTTGTATATGTTTGTGCGTTTTTATATAAACTAGCAAACATGTCCGTGCGTTGTAACGGGAGAAAAAAAATTATCAAACGTTAATAAGCAACGAGAATAAAAGTGTTGCACATTTATTTATGTTTTACCTTTTTATAAACTTTATAGAGTTGTAATTTATTTTTTGATGATAGTAACATCATGAATATATAAGTTAATTTAAATCTCTGATTATATTCAGCAAGGAGTTAGTTACGTCGTGTCAAAGATGGGTCTAGTTTATAAGGCATTTTTTGATATGGCACGATCTTATAAATTATACTTTGATCATTTATTTATTTTGTTTCATATTGTTTATGAGTATATTAACTTATGATTATTAGATATAGTACATTTAATTATAAATCTAACAGTATTAAGTTGCATTACAATAGTTATTAAAAGTTGTTATTCAAATACGCAGCAACACAGCTCTTGATATCCATCTCAAATAAGCCGACCAATTCAGGCCCATCATCGGCTTCAATATATATATTTCGATTTGTGAAACCCTATCCTCTCCGTTCCCAAATCCTCGAGTCCTGCAGCCGCCACACAAGCCAGGCGTGACTCACGCTGTCGCGAATCATGAGCGTTGTGCCCGCCGCGGCAACACCTCCGGCCAACACCCAGCTCTCGCAAGCTCGCATCGCCCAGCCCCGCCCCTTGGGACGGCGCGTCGCTGCCAAAACTCTCTATGCTCTCTCTCTTTGCTCGGTCTGCAGGCCGGCAACGTCTGTCTCTGCTCCCTCTATATTTGCTCGGTCTTTAGAGTTTGCGATTAGATGCTGGACGGTCGAGATGGAAGCCCGTGTCCGTCTGACGGCGTTCTACCTTGACGGATCGACGGCGGCCTGGTGACTCCGTGCCTCGACGTTGCTGCTCCGCTCCGGAGGCGCGATCCCCGCGCCTCGACGGATCGACGGCGCTGCTCCGTGCCTCCGTCCCGTCGACGGTTCTGCGACTCCGCGCCTCGACGGCCGGCGGCGACCCCGTGCCTCGACGACGCTGCTCCACTCCTCCGGAGTCACGATCCCCTCGCCCCGTGCCTCCGTCCCGACGGCCGGCGATGGCCCAGCGACCCCGTGCCTCGACGAGAGGCACTGCTTCGTGCCTCCATCCGACAGCGGTTCCACGACCCCGCGCCTCTACGGCCCTGCTCTGCTCCTCCTCTTGCTCCGCTCCTGAGTCCCGATGCCCTCGCCGCGTGCCTTTTATTTGTTTGATTTTTTTGTGCATCACGTAATTTATGGTGGTTGTTGTTCTCGATTTCTATCCATTCTATTTGTATTTGGATTCGACTTCAATCAAATTAATGATGATTTGGAGATATGTGGATTCTTAGTTTCCTTCTCATCCTTTTCGCTCGGGTTCCTCTTTCTTTCTTTTGAAATTCAAGTCGTGCTGGACTGAAACTCCGCTGAGGGCCGGCGGGCACAGACGTATAGGGAAAGGATCTAGGCGGGTGGGGGCAGGCGTACAGAGAAAGGAGTAGGAAGAGACGGACACGAACGCTATATTGGAGAAAGAGACGTGTTAGGACATGCGACGGAAGTACATGTGTATAAAAGCGCTAGTTAGTTACGGAGGACCAGACCATAATAATGGTAAAAAAAAAGAAATTTTGTCTCTTTATTATTATGGATAGACTTAATTCAAAGTAGAAAACTTTTAACTTAGAATAAAACTAGAATTATTGATAATTTAGAGCTCGTGCAGAGCAGGTGTTGGAGCTTGTGCACCTCCTCGGCCCACGGACACCAACACGTCCAGCGCCGGTGAGGAGAGGGGGCAGAGGGGTCATCCATCGCATGACCACACCTACCTCTGCTCATCGTTTCTCTTGGCACCAGTGGTTGTCTCTTGTGCAGCCGCGTCGAGGATGAAGCCGAGGTCACCACGCCCGAACCGAGACAGAGGCAGGGGCAGGGGGCCAGGGTCACCTGCGTTGTGGTCGCCCATCGGTTACTGGCACCGTCGTGCCCAGTGGCGGAACCACATGTACGACATATTGGGCCATCCCCCCCTCCCCCTCACGGAATTGAAATTTCTTAATAATAAAGATGATACTTAGCAAGTAATGGATATTTGCACACATAAGACTACCCACAACGTTGGTTTTCTGCGATGCTGAAAGATGAGAGATAGTGTTGGAGCATCGGTGCTGACCATTGTGGCTGTCGATGCCGAGTTTAGATTTTGTCTACCCGAGGCATGTTCTTTCCCCGATGCTGAAAGAGTAAAAAATGGTTTTCCAACCAACACTTGGTCCTAGACGATGGTTCTGACGGTTGGGTCCACAAGAACGAAGCACCAGTGTCCATTTCTGGCATCGGTCTAGATGGCATGCTGAAATTCCTTTTCAGCACCGCTAATTCTGTGGGTAGTCTAAGAGGAAAGTTGGACACTGTGCCTCCTCTTGAATTTCCTTCACGCTCTGCCACTGGTCGTACCCACCTCGCTCGCCCTCGTGCGCCTCCCGTTGGGGATTGGTCATGCTCTACACTGCATGCCTCCCGCCGAGAAGGTGACGCTAAGTCGTGGCAGAAAGGTGGAGAGCGGGGCAAGGCGGCGGCATGCAGGGCTATTGTGGGGTGGCTGCGATGGGGATGGGGCGGGGGTAGGGCGCGACAAGGGAGGGGTGGGGCAGCGGCGTCAACAGTAGGGGAGCCGGGGAGAAGCGGAGAGGCATGGGTTTTTTTTTTAGTTTTTTCCTGATGATGATAGACGAATCACGGTGCGGACGATGTACACATTTCGTGTTTATATATGCTAGTACTAGTACAGATTAGTTGGTTGTCTAAATTATTGTCTAAAAATTTAGGCATCTCAAATATAGCAAGTCCCTTTATTCTAACCATTTATTTCTAGGCTCCATTGTAGTAAAAAAAATAAGTATGTTGATCTGATGGACGCTTAATAATGATCAAATGTGTTACCATTACCATTGGAAAGGACTAAGAATGAGTATAAAATTTTCGTTTGTCAAAGTCAATCCTAGCTATGGACGAGGAAGATGCTTATCCCAAAGCTATATACTGTAGCTTGCTGAGCATAGCTTGGCTGGTAAATTCTTTAGGGTGGAACTTGTCTATCCGATTTTAAGTTCTCTATCCGATTTTAAGTCCTTGACTTGATGTGGATGCTCGTATTTTTCTAGATTTTTTAGTATTTTGAGATTGCCCATGGATTTTTATATGATTTAATGATGTTGTTCTTTGAGATTACTCATAAAGGTAGGGTATGTGTGGTTACGTTTATAGTGTGCGTGTATGTATGAGTGTTTGTATTTGTACTATGATAAAAAAAACTATACTGTATATCATAATTCAAGGCTGAGCTTTCCTATTCCTTTTTAAATTTTGGCTGATTTGGCCAAAAACGCAATTTTGCGATGTGTCTATATAGAATTCTAAATGATGAGTCACAGTCACCCATCGGTCCATCGTATTGCAGTTCACAACAGCCAAACGGGGCCAAATTTTGAGAATTGCTATACAACAACCGGTTGTTTTTGCTCTCTCCAATAACCAATTGTTCCGCCGCCACCCCAGGCCGGCCACTGCTCCCTCCACCAGCGTCCCTGGTGAGGGCGCAACACCCTCACATCCGCAATTTGTGAACAATTTGTAATTTTCTGAAATTTGTGAACATTTTGACATATATTTCTCTGGTATCTGCAATCCATAAAAATAATTTATCTGAGATCTACAATCCATAAAAATAGAAGTTATGTTATTCCCAAATTACATCAATGTGTCCAATAAACTATAGTGAAGAAATCATTATAAATATAGCTTAAAGACATTATAAATGTATGGACAAAAATCAGGTGTCAGGAGTTTCCAAAATATTCTGTTGCCAGGCAGATAGATTCTAATTTTTTGAGATGATAAAAAACTGTACGTTTTGGAAGAAACGATCATGCCATCTGAGCTGAAAGATAAGCTGATCGAGCTGCCGCCGGATTGCGCTCCTCAGAGTAAAGGCTTAGCAAAGGTTGCATTGTAGCAAGTTGCAAAAGCAGCCAGCCAGACATGTAGCTCGTAAGCTTTGCCTCCAACACCTCGACGACCCCACTCCTCTGCTGCTGCATGGCCTTCTTCGTCTCGCTCCTTTTCTTGCTTCACCGCCGCTATGGTCGCGGCAAGTCAACGTCGAATAATAAGAGCAAGGGCCGCCTTCCTCCTGGACCACCGGCGCTGGTGTTCCTGGCCAAATTCTTGGTCCTGCGGCGATCGATCTTCGACCTGGCGCCGCTGCTCCGGGACCTGCACGCGCGCCTTGGCCCCGTCATCTCCGTCCACCTCTTCACCACGCTCGTCTTCGTCGCCGACCGCCGCCTTGCGCACCGCGTCCTCGTCCGGGACGGCGCCACCTTCGCCGATCGCCCGCCGCTCGTCGAGCCGGATCCGCTCTTCTGCGCCGGCGACATCAACACCGCGCCCTACGGTCACTACTGGCGCCTCGTCCGCCGTAACCTCGCCGCCGACGCGCTGCACCGCGCCCGCGTCGGCCTCTTCGCGCCGGCTAGGCGGTGGGCTTGCGAGGCGCTCGTTACAAACCTCCTCCACGCGGCGCGCGTCTCCTCCTTCGAGACGGAGCTCGTCACGGTCAGGCCGTTCCTGCGGCGCGCCAGGTTCGAGCTGCTCGTGTACATGTGCTTCGGCGCTCGGCTCAGCCAGGGCGCGCTCGACGAGATCGAGGCGTGCTCGCTTCCTTCACCGCCTTTCCGGTGTTCGCCTTCTTCCCGCCGCTCACCAAGAGGCTCGTCTGCAAGCGGTGTGGGAGGCACACGTGGCCGTGCACCGGAGGCTGCACGAGCTGTTCGCCCCGCTGATCCACGCCGCGGGCCGGCGTGGCGAGGACGACCACCCGCCGTGCTACGCCGACTCCCTCCTCGCGCTGCGGGTGCCCGACGAGGGCGACCCGCCTCTCACGGACGCCGAGATCGTGAGCCTCTGCTCCGAGTTCCTCAACGCCGGGACGGACACCACAGTGACCCTGGTGGAGTGGATCATGGCCGAGCTCGCGAACAACCCCAACGTCCAAGCCAAGGTCGCTACAGATATGATAATCTTAATCTATTTTTCAGCAAGTATGTATGTACAAAGTTGGAAGTTTCGTTCAACTCGTAGAAAACCACTACCGGAATCCTCAAATTTGCCGAGTGTTTTTATGTTTACCGAGTGTATTCCCTCGGACACTCGGCGAACAAGTTCTTTGCAAAGTGCCGCGCTAAAAACACTCGGCAAAAAAAAAAAAACTCGGTAAAGAGGAGGTTTACTGAGTGTAAAAAAAACACTCGACAAATAGGGACTTTGTCGAGTGTTTTTTTTATTGACACTCGGCAAATAAATAAAATCTTTTTTATGAGAAAGAAGGAGAAGAAAAAAAAATAAAAAAAACTTTGGCGAGTGCCCAGATCTAGGACACTCGGTAAAAAAAAAATCATTTAATTAACCGCCATCGCCCCTCCCCTCTCTCCCCTCAGCTACCCTCCCTCCTCCCCTGCCTCCTCCCAGATCAGCACGCCCGCGCCCTCTCTCCGGCGCCGCTGCGCCACTCCCCTCCCTCCCCTCCCTCTCCGGCGCGGCCCCGCCCTCCCCTCCCTCTCCGGCGCGGCCCCGCCCTCCCCTCCCTCTCCGGATCCGGGCGCCGCCCCTCCCCTCCTCCTCCTCCCTGGATCCGGCCGCCGCCGCTCCCTCCCCTCCCTTCTTCCCCGTGGGTGCCCCTCCCCTCCCTTCTTCCCCCGCCGGCGGCCCGCCCCTCCCCCTCCCCCTTCTTCTTTCTCGGCGGGCGTCCCTCCCCTCCCCCTTCTTCTTCCCCGGCGGGCGCCCCTCCCCTCCCTTCTTCCCCCTCCGGCGTGGAGGGCCAAGGCGAGCTCCAGGCCGATGAATCTATGGCGGGTGGTCCTCGCGACGGCAGCTGGCATTGGATCCGTCGAGGAGGGCCAAGGGGAGCTCCATGCGTGGCGGATCCACGGCAGGTGGGCCTCGCGACGGCAACATGCGTCAGATCCGGCTGCTGGGGCTTGGATCCAGCGACGATGGGGTTGCGGCGGCTGGAGTGGGTCCGAGGTAGGTCTGGTCTCCCCATCTCCCTCTCTTTTCCTCTCTTCATCTCCCTCACTCTCTCCCTCGCTGGTGATTAGATCCACGGCGGCGGTGGGCGGATCCGGCGGGGAGCAGCAGCGTGGAGGCGGCAGATTCGGCAGGGAGGAGCGCGCCGGCGGGCGGCGTGGTGGTGGCCGGTGGCGGGGCGTGGTGGTGGTGGTGGTGGTGGCTAGCGGCGGGGAGTGGTGGTGGCGTGGTGGTGGTGGCGGCGGCAGGACTTGTTTTTTTTCCCGAAAACTGTTTGTCAAGTGTTTTTTTTGGACTCGGCATAGTCTTTGCCGAGTGCCAGACGTTTGACACTCGGCAAACAGCTCTTTGCCGTCAAAACCTTTGCCGAGTGTCATTCGGTGTCGATGTTTTACCACCGATAGCCTGCCATGGGGGTACCCGGGGCAGTATGTTCAGGCTTCAGCATATGCGGAACTCGACGGTGAACGCAAGAGACAGTCGATTTATCCTGGTTTGGGCCCTCGATCGTTGATCGAGTAATAGCCCTACGTCTAGTCGGCGTTAGCCTTTGCGTTGGATTGATTGTGTGTTGTTGCGTTGTAGAAGTCGTAGTCTCTTCTGCTCTCCCGTTCTAAGGAGGCCTGCCCTCCTTTATATAGTCAGGAGGCCAGAGTCCTAGTCGTTTTACAATGTAGAGTCCTAGTAAGATTACAGGGTAGTATTACTACTAGGATTACATGGGAGGAATCATAATCAAACTAGATCTTCTCTCTTCCTTGCGGTGTATCCCGTGGGTCCCACATCGATAAGCCCCTGAGCACTTCATGGTTGAACTCCGAAAGCCTTGTCTTGTTCCTCCAGGTCTTGCCGAGCAGGAACAAGCGTCGCCCGAGTGCTTTCTTGAGTGAAACCATGTAGCGCTTCTTGGGATCTTCGAGTGGTGTGTGCTTTTTTGAAGAAAAAATACTCCCATCTTGGTGTAGCCCCCGAACCTCTTGCTATTTGGAACAAGGAGCTGGAGGGTCTTGTCTTGAAATTGCTCTGATTCTTCGTCGAAGGGCTCCCGAGCATTTACCCGGGTTCTTTATCAAAAGGAACTCGGATATAGCTCGATCTGGGTTCTTTTTATTTTGAGGCCTTGAAGTGGTCTGTCTTTAAGAAGTCTTCTTGGTGACGTGCGCTTTTTCGAACAAAAAAGTGCACTCACTGAGTGTAGCCCCCGAGCCTCTTGCTATTTGGAACAAAAAGTTGGAGGGTCTTGAACTTGAATCTTATGTTGTTTGAAAACTCCTCTTCTGAAGATATGTAGGATCTTGTAGACATTCTCAAGGGTGTATCCAAGTAACCCGCGAACTGCAGTAGGCTAACCATATACCATTGCAAGTCAACACAGTTGCGCCACCGAGTACTTTCCATAATTAGCTTGCGTGCTTGATGTCTTCTTGCATGCTGCTGTATGTCATGCCTCTTCCTTTGTTTCGCTTGAGTAATGAAAGTACATATAAATATGCACGTGCATCCTCATATTCGTGCTCACTTGCTGACGCAAAATCTTCTCGTTCGACCATGATTCGATCCGAGTAAGGCAACTTAGATAATCCATCAAAAGGCTTCGGGTGGGCAGTCCCCTCACCGGAGACCCCGTATCACCCCCACCTTAGGATTTCCAAATCACCGCAACAAGGTCGACCTTAGCTGTCGAGTAGTTGATCACCCCAACCGAGTAGTCGATCACCGCGACCGAGTAGTCGGATGTCATGGCGACTTGTAGAGAAGCAACCGAGTAAGACAGCGCGGGGCGTATGTCTCACCCAACGAAGTAGTGGCCAAGTAAGGCAGCCAGCGGTGGGCGAGCTCCTTATTTGATGACGTGGTCCAGAAAATGGTTCCCTGCAAAGTAATCATACGAAAGTATGTAATAATTGATATACGAGATATCAAGTTGGAAGTATGTCCTAATATTATAACATGCATATTAAATTTTTTTGCATCTTACTCTTACTAGGCTATGTAATTTCCCTAGGTAGGTAGCCTGTTACGTTTAAACACCTCTCGCACCTTTCCGGCGAGTAGGCTTCACGGATTAAGACCTCAGCAACCTAGGTAAATTAACAACCGTTAAAAGAAGACATTATAAAATGCATATTAAATTTTTTCGTGTCTTGCTCTTACTAGGCCATGTAATTTCCCTAGGTAGGTAGCCTGTTACGTTTAAACACCTCTCGCACCTTTTCGGCGAGTAGGCTTCACGGATTAAGGCCTCAGCAACCCAGGTAAATTAACAACCGTTAAGAGAAGACTTGAGTAGTCGGGGATGCAACTGTAGTAGAGCCGCGGAGGCATATGGATAATATCCGGAGATATAGGATGATTAAAGAATATTTAAAAATAATATTAAAGCTTGACTTAGCTTGATTGACGACTGTGAAGTGATAAGCCCCCGGGCGTCATCTTGACATTGGTGGCCGAGTAGTCGGTCATCGTGGACAAATAGTCAGTTGCCGCGGCCGAGTAGTCGGTTGTTGCTTGCTCGCTGGATCACGAAGCACGCATGGTGCTGTAGCTTGTTTGTACATGTGCGCCTCGTGAGGACATGCAAATTTTGGTAGTTTGCATGTCTTAATGCTCTCCTCGACGTGGTGGACTTGATGACGCTAGACTGCCGCACTTGGAAGTTCTGATATGGAACCAAGTCGGAGTCGGCACTGTAGTCGAACTCGGCGGAAAGGGGACGGACTCGGCCCCGGCGTAGTGGGACTCGGCGGGACAGAGTCGGAGTCGGCCCCCGCGTAGTCGAATCTGACACGCTTCACGTGAGATACGTCTGACCCTTGGACAGGCTGGTCAATCTGGATGTTGATACAGGTCGTGATCGGCGCGATCCATCATGTGTGGTCAAGGCTTACAGCGACCTAATGTAGCCGGACGAGTTGGTGCCGGACCGAGCCCGAGTTAGATCGACTTGGTTCGTGCCGTTTGAGCAGCTGCAGGTCTTGTATGTGCGCCTCACACATGCAAGTACGAGTATATGCAAATCACGACGGCTTTGCATGGCTTGCATGTCACTGTAGTTCGTATGGTGATCCTTGTTTGCTTCTGGACCAATGATGCCTCAGTGAGCACGGCGAGTTGTCGACCAGAGCCGATGAAAGCCGCAGTGAGTTGTTGACGAGGGCCGATGAGAGTTGCGGCGAAAGTTGATCTTGAGGTCCATCGAACTCTCGAACGCAATTGCGCCGAAAGCCCCTACCTGGCGCGCCGGCTGTCTATGTTTTACTACCGATAGCCTGCTACGGGGGTACCCGGGGCAGTATGTTCGGGCTTCAGCGTATGCGGAACTCGACGGTGAACGCAAGAGACAGTCGATTTATCCTGGTTCGGGCCCTCTATTGTTGATCGAGTAATAGCCCTACGTCCAGTCGGCGTTAGCCTTTGCGTTTGATTGATTGTGTGTTGTTGCGTTGTAGAAGTCGTAGTCTCTTCTGCTCTCCCCGATCTAAGGAGCCCTGCCCTCCTTTATATAGTCAGGAGGCCAGAGTCCTAGTCGGTTTACAATGTAGAGTTCTAGTAGGATTACAGGGTAGTATTACTACTAGGATTATATGGGAGGAATTCTAATCAAACTAGATCTCCTCTCTTCCTTGCGGTGTATCCCGTGGGTCCCGCATCGACATTCGGCAAATGGTTTGCCGAGTGTTTTGGGAGCTTTGCCGGTAGTGAACCAAAACTTACACTACTAAGGTACAAGGTGAAAAGAGAGAAACAAATAGAGTGTAGTCTCTTTTAGGCTAACCACACCACAATGGGGAAAATTGCTACATCAGCAGTCAGCAGTAAGCAGAGCTGATTTTTTTTAGATAATAGATCTAAGTTCCAACCTGTACCAGTATGGTACACAGCTGAGAGCTGAATTTATATGCATCTGACGATTCATGACTATTTGACAACCTAGGCATAACTATACAGATTTCAACATTTCGAAAAACTCGACAGCCAGGTTTGCTTGGTCCTCTCTAGTAAGTCTACAGGTATCCCCGTTCGCTAGTCTGAATCTTAGCTGAAACTGGTTGAAA